GTCTCGTTTTCTTATCACATGACTTATCAAGCCTACACTCAGCAGAGTTCTGCTTAAGTCTCAAGGCACGTCTCTAGACTAGCATAAGTGATAAACCCAGTACTTGTAGGTTTACTCGTACAGCAAGGGTCGCTTCTCCACATGGAGTCGCTAAATCCACATTGTAATGTTAACAAAAGTAGGACCCAAAGTTAACAATTGTGGTCCCCCCATCTAAAGGAAGCTGAAAGAACACGATTGCTATACAGCAGCAGAGTTTAGCAGTTATACAGTGCCATGATGAAGTTCCCGTAGGGAGGTATATATTGACGTAAAATTCACTAAATAAATCCTAAAGTGCTTTTCCCACCACCTTTTCCGTCGGATTCTAAAAGCAATTAAGCATGAGTCAGTATAAGGAAAAATATGTAATTTTCTGAATAAAATTGATATTTTTGACTCATGAGGTAAGCCCTCCCAGCCTCCCAACTAGACACTTTGGATTTCCTTGTAAATTCAAGTGTCGGGCTCATATTCAGGAGAGAGTGAAGCATGTGGGGGAACGGTGGCGCCAGTTCCCACCAAAACAGGAAGGAGGGATAACTCTTGTTGAGTAGTGATTAGTTTTTTTACGTACGTTTTATAGAAGGGAGCTTCAATAAAGAGATACAAGTGTTCCACTATGTTCCCCAGAGGAAGAAGACAAGCAATTAAGCATGAGTCAGGATTAGTATAAAAATATCAATTTTATTTAGAAAATTACATATTTGTGTTGTATGCGCGACGTCAACGCACATTGGGTTGACGCCGCCTGTCCAACAGAGAATGTGTTTTGATAATTACATTTAGTGATTGACACTTAATGCGGTTATCAAAACCATTCTCTTGCATCCTTCGCATTTGCTTCTGCGTTCTCGTGTTTACTTCCGCATTCTGTTGTCGGCCGCCATAGTTACGTCACTGAGTTACCAGTGACGTCATGTATTCAACGCGTACCGATTACGTCACTTTCTGAATGTCATTCGCGCCGATCTTATCGTGCCATCAACACCATTCGGTAAAATCCCCGCCCTTCCCACCCTAGCTTGCCTTGTTATATATTTTGCCATGTAAATTCTTATTTAAATCATTTCAGTCCCACTGTAAATGCTCCTGAATAAAAATGTTATTGGTGTGGCGGGATTCTTGGAGGCTTAAACATATTATAACAATGTTCTAAATTTAGGGGTCCTACTTTTCAGTTGGATCTTATTTTCCCTCCACTCATCAGTGATGGGGACTATTTTGACATATAAATACATTCCTGCTTCTCAGCGGACGTATATCTTTACCTATCAGGGCCCCTCCAAGAACCGCCACACTCACGACCATTAAACCACAACAATTTTATTATTTGTGTTGTATGCGCGACGTCAACGCACATTGGGTTGACGCCGCCGGTCCAACAGAGAATGTGTTTTGATAATCACAACTTCTTTATTTCTGTAAATAATTACATAAATGTTTGACAACTGAGTGAATAATTTTACGACGGTGTCGTATTGGCCACAGTCGGTTTACTCATGACTATCTGCTGAAAACGGATGGGGATGGACCCCCATGTGTGGCACCATCAAGCATATTCTGCTTGATTACGTGGACTTATCATCTGCAAGGGACTCACATTATGATGCAACAAATCTGATAGGTCTGTTCTCCCGCGTGAGCGCTCATCTGATAGTGAACTTCCTGAGGGAAATTGATCTGTATCATGAATTGTAACCGTGTAATATGACTAACAAATTGCCTGCCTTCAAATTTAGTGCTATGCCTTTTTTCTGTTTTAAACGACAATGTAATGAATATATGTACTTACAGTGTTTATTAATGCAAACTTGTTCTCGTCACTATATGGCTGGAATAATGCCGATGTGACGTAAAGCCAAACTCAACTCAACTCAACTACTTTCCAGACAGAAACTGGAGTGGATGACACTGCCAGAAGCTTCACGAAGTTCTCGAGACCTTAGCAAAGGTGACTGCAAGTCTCAACTTCTATGTTAAAAGAAGTGCATTTGTATATTTTTCATCTTCTTTACACATCGCTCTGTAACTGCAATGGGAACTGTTAAGGGGGACTTCAGAAGCACAGAGATCGATGTTTGACAACATGATGTCACGTGACTAATCAACACTGTAGCGTTTACATTATTTTGAAGATAAATTTTATCTTTTACTACTAAACATAAATGTACTTTACAAAGAAAGTGTAATCCCAAATATAACACATGTTACATTTGACCACTTTCTAAACTGGCATTGTGTATTTCATAGCTTTCGGCCGTGGGAGCCGTGCCAATTAACACTTATCAGAGGGGTACACAAAGTCTGTAGTCTATACTACCAGTTGTCCGACTTCCATTTTTGTGGAAGCCGCGGTGGCTGAGCGGTCTAGGCGTCTGACTTTGTGTGCTGGCGATTAGGTGCCTGACTCTGAGGGTGTGGGTTCGAATCCCGGATGGGACTCAACCCCCCAAAAGTACTAGAATCTGTACTTTACAAAGAAAGTGTAATCCCAAATATAACACATGTTACATTTGACCACTTTCTAAACTGGCATTGTGTATTTCATAGCTTTCGGCCGTGGGAGCCGTGCCAATTAACACTTATCAGAGGGGTACACAAAATCTGTAGTCTATACTACCAGTTGTCCGACTTCCATTTTTGTGGAAGCCGCGGTGGCTGAGCGGTCTAGGCGTCTGACTTTGTGTGCTGGCGATTAGGTGCCTGACTCTGAGGGTGTGGGTTCGAATCCCGGATGGGACTCAACCCCCCAAAAGTACTAGAATCTGTACTTTACAAAGAAAGTGTAATCCCAAATATAACACATGTTACATTTGACCACTTTCTAAACTGGCATTGTGTATTTCATAGCTTTTGGTCGTGAGAGCCGTGCCAATTAACACTTATCAGAGGGGTACACAAAGTCCGTAGTCTGGACTACCAGTTGTCCGACTTCCATTTTTGTGGAAGTCGCGGTAGCTGAATAGGTTAGGCGGCTGACTTTGTGTGCTGGCGATTAGGTGCCTGACTCTGAGGGTGTGGGTTCGAATTCCGGATGGGACTCAACCCAAAAAAGGACTAGAATATGTACTTTACAAAGAAAGTGTAATCCCAAATATAACACATGTTACATTTGACCACTTTCTAAACTGGCATTGTGTATTTCATAGCTTTTGGTCGTGAGAGCCGTGCCAATTAACACTTATCAGAGGGGTACACAAAGTCCGTAGTCTGGACTACCAGTTGTCCGACTTCCATTTTTGTGGAAGTCGCGGTAGCTGAATAGGTTAGGCGGCTGACTTTGTGTGCTGGCGATTAGGTGCCTGACTCTGAGGGTGTGGGTTCGAATTCCGGATGGGACTCAACCCCAAAAAGGACTAGAATATGTACTTTACAAAGAAAGTGTAATCCCAAATATAACACATGTAACATAAATGTTGTTTGTTGGATTTCTTGAAAGTATTAGAAATAACCCTTTGAACTGCCAATATATCTCACATATTGCAACAAATGAAGATTTTTATTATAGTCGGTTCATGTGTTTTATAGTCGGTTTTAAAGTCTGGGTGGACTTCAGCACGCTTTGATTTTTTGTGGCCATCTTGGATTATTTGGAAAATAGGCCCCAAAAATCGGGCACACCCCAAAACTATGTTTTATCATGATGTTCCCTAACACTGTGAAATATTTTCTGCTTTAATCCAGCGGGGAAAAGTCACGTAGTGTTAGAACTGGAAATGTTTTATTTTTTGCGGCCATCGTGGACGCCATCATGGATTTTCGGAGAATTGGCCCCAAAAAATCGGGCACCCCCCAAAAAATATGTTTTATCATGATAATGCCCAGCACTCTGCAAAGTTTCATGCTTTAGTCCGTCAAGTACCTATTTTCACCCTTAGTCACTACACTATGTTAGCTTAACATCACCACTGATGAAGTGGCCGGGGCAAGTGAGAGAGGTCGGAAGCCCTAAATCAGCTCAGAAATATAAGTCCATACACATGACATGCTAAAAATAATATGACTGAAAGATGAAAGTTGGGGTTTGTTTTTAGACAAACCAAAAGTCGGTGATGGCACATGATGGCACAACGGTGGCGGTGTGTGGTGCTGTGCGTAGAGCTCAGGTCACAATCAGTTGAAGTTAGGCAACGTTGGTCGCGGACAGTCCTTGGATGATGACCGTGTTTGGCAGCTTGACTCCTGAAAGTTTCTAGGACTACAGTCCTGCCCCACAACGAAGCACATGTGACGCATGTGGTCTCACCTTAGGCAAGTGAGTTTGTTCAAACTTTCCTTTGTCCACACAGAAGTACAATTGGGTATCTGGTATGATACGATGGTAGTCTGAATTTGAACATTGAGCGCCTGACAGGCGACCGGTTGTATTCTCCACAGGGAGTGTTCTGTACTCGTTGACCAGGGGTAATATGTCAGCGCTTTGAGCATGCACTGTGCATGGATAAACGCGCAATATAACTGGACTATTATTATTATTATTATTATTATGAACCATGTTGACTCTGAATTAAGGAGTTTTCTCCTTTGATCTGTCCCAATTTACACATTGATTTAATGTAGTTGTTTGTCAAATATAACCGACAATATAAACAATATTCACTCATTTCAATCCTTATGTCGTCTTATCTCAAGAAAATAATCACAGTCTTGTTTTAACTTTTATATGAGTGGGTGAGTGAGTTTAGTTTATGCCCATTTTAGCAATATTACAGCAATATCACGGGAGGGGACGCCAGAAATGGGCTTCCACATATTGTACTCATCAGGTGAATCGAACCTGGGTCTTCAGCGTGACGAGCAAAGGCTTTAACCACTAGGCTACAGCGGCCCCTAACTGTTATATTTATTAAAAGAAGAGTAGAAAACAACTACTTCCCTGTGACACAACAAATCACTTTAAAACTATTAACACAGGTGCTTCATTGGATACACAGTACTTCAGAGGGAACAACACTCACCTTCCAAAAACTACAACCTTCATGCCTTTCCTCTGAATGACTTCTCGGATGTCTTGAACTTTCTCCTTATAGCCCTTGACCTTTGCACTAACATCTGCTGGCAGAATCTCTTGAAAAGTGGTTCCGATCTCTGAAGATGTCATGTTCTTAGTATATCATATTTAAACCATGCTTCACGTAAACTATTTTCCAGTGTCAAGTAGATGAAGGTAGATCAAAATTAGATGTAAAATTAGTAGGCTGTGTACTACACTACTAGGCATACAAGGTGTACAGTAACTGTCAATTGAAAGTAACACTGTTACTAAGTTACTACAAGAAAAGCGACAATACAGAAGATTATACATCATGAAACATGTCTTTCTATTCCAAAAATTTAAAAAGACCAATGACAAATCAATTAAAAATCTGCCATTTCAGATGAGACTATTTTAGCCCTCTAAACAATGCCCAATCAAGTTTTTGAAAGGCATTTGGAAGTTGGATGAACATGAATACATGACACGTTTTATGGATAACAACTTCTTTTTTATTCTTTGCACGACGTTTCAGAGCTAATTCTTGCTCCTTCATCAGATGAATGCCAAGTCAGTAAGAGAGTGAATATATACAGATAAAAACATGAAACACACTGCATTGAGGGAGAATGTACAAAGATAACAATATAATTACGAAGCCAATTAGATTGGATTAATTCACAAAGGCTCTGAAACGTCGTGTAAAGAATAGAAAAGAAGTTGTTATCCATAAAACGTGTCATGTATTCAAATCCCCAGTCATTCACAAAAAGTAACAGAGATGCCAGCATCATTTCAAACATCTGATTTGTTGGGCAAATCTTTTATCATTTAGATTAAGGGTAATTCTTTCTTTACATCTTTTAGAAAAATGTATTTTGAAACACTAATTACGTCCACCTCTCGCGTATAATCATGATCACATCAAAAGCTTAGTAACGCCCTGCCTTCGAGTTTCAGATATAGTTTCACCCTTAATTATGTCAAATGGACCTGGATGTCAATATTACATAGACATACTGGTCTTGACATAAGTAAGAATAACATGTGTATTTTAAAACTTAATAAATCATATTCATTAGAGTATTGATTTTCATAAAGATTGTTTGTTACTCACTCACCATCAACTAACGTGTCTGTCTCTTGAACAAATTGTCCAATTTCTTTGAAGATGTCATCGATCTGTTCCTTGGCTTGACCAAATAACTGTAAATGTGAGCGCTGGTTGTGCCCACCATTTCCCATGTTCCTAGCACTCCCCCCAATGTCCCCCGGCACCCGCTGATAGACTACTTCCATTCCACGTACTACTCGAGACATTTCTACTCTCCGGACACCCTTGACACAGTTGTACTGTGGTCTACAAATATTTAAATGGTTCGTCAGGTTTCAGCCTGTAAAAGAAAGGACAACCTTTATGGCACTGTCATAAACTAAACTAGTGTTTAAATAAAATTGTAAACCAAAAGTCACTGTGTTCTTTAATCGGATTGGTGAAAAACATGATCGAATGGTATTCAAATCCCGGAAATTACAAGTCTATTCGCTGCGTGTTGATACGTACAATTATCGCACACAATTGTATTGTTAAGTCGTCAGCAGTGGTGGCGTCATTCTAATCATAATGTGACGTAAAGTCAGAATGACCTCACAAATGAGCAGTTCCAGATGTTACTATGGGAACCAGCCAAAACGACCGGCTGATGACACTTCATTGCTGTCAGTGAATGCAAACAGTAAAACGCGGGTAAACTTTTTTGTTTAATTTTGTGTTTACAATGTCGATAAACATTTTGAGCGCATTTTTATATTGTCTGGTTCTGTAGATACATTGTTTTATGATTAGATGCTAGTTGTATGTTTACATCTGTGATAACACAAGAAAAAAATGGTGATTTCCAAAAATTTCCAATTTGGAAATATCATATTTCCAAAAAATTCCAAAATTGGAAACATGATGTTTCCAAGGCTTGGACATTTTTGGAAATTTAGGAAGGATTTTACCACTACTTCTTCCAGTTTCTCCTTTTCCCAAGGATCCCCGTGAGTGTATAGACTGTGTATTCGTCCTCCTAGGAGTGTATTCGTCCTCCTATGGGATCAACTAGGAACCAGTTCTATATTTAGTATAACCAGGGAGACTATAAGACGTTGTAGATTATCCCTGGTATAACTTCACTCGTCTGCATCCTTGTTGTTCTAGGTGTTAAAAATTGATATTGACTGTCATATTTGCCCAGATATGGCTAGCTTTTCCAAAATACCGTTTTAAGTGTATGTTTTACTTATTATCCACAGAAGCGCAAATAGTTTTGACCTGTCACGGTTTGCATAAACATAAATTACATAGACCTACGTTACATCATTGATTAAATAAAAGTTTACCGGACCCACTGACTAACTAGACAGGGTTTATTACATGTCATAAAACTGAACCCTTGCCAGGGAATAATAGGTTTATTGTAGTAGAATACATTCTTTAATGGTACCCCCTAATTAACACCTGTCACAAGGGATGGACCGTTTGGTTGGTTTATCATTGCGAAATCAACAGTCAAGACTGTTGTTTTAAGACTGTAGGCAAATAGAGAACAACCCATTTGGGTTTGTGGTCAGAGACGGTGTTATGCAGTTGGTGTATTCACGAAATATCATGAACTTGATAATATACTACCCATCAAAAGTTTAGACTCACTGAAAGCACTCACTATATGTTATGTATATGTATGTGGTTACATCGAAGATGAATTTCTCCACCAACTTGGGGGAACCAACTGAAAACCTTATGCAGATGAATTGCACAAGGATGATGCTTCAAATTGCGAAAGGCATGAGCAAATGACGTGCATGTGAACAGATTCGTTTTGGTGTAAAGTTTTGTTAAGAATTAGCCAATTTTCACAGATTTTAATCATTTACTGAACTCATGACAATAATCTTTTCAATGTTACGAATATGTTTTACAATACACCAGTTCATAACTAAACAGTACCTTTAAACAGTATGGAATATTTTGCAAAAAGCTAGTTTAGAACAGTGGACAAGTAAGTAGCTACATTTACACTAGTGAGTCTAAACTTTTGATGGGTAGTATAGATAATTGGTTATATTGTCCACACCCGGGCGGACTGAGGCAAAAAGAACCTAAATGAATTCCTTCTTAAAATCTTCATAGTGTAACTATTAATTTGGTCATATACAATAAAGGGTGACTAAATGTTTAATTTTAGATAACGTTAAATAATTTCTAGAGAAATCACTACATAAGTTCATATCACAGATGATTCCAGAGACAAATAGTTTATGAGATTCTAGTTTATGAAAAGCATTAAATTCCAAACAAGCCAATCTGTTCTCTAATACTCAGGAATTATTACCACTTACACGAAAATAGTTTGAGATGTCGACTCAGGAAGCCGACCTTTCAATTTTTATAAGGCCAAGGACGTTGACAAGGGGTAGGCTTTGAAGTTTGTGTGTTGTTTTAGCACTTGGCTAATCTCATGTGACGTGTTATTATAAGCTGGTGGTTGATGGAAGTGAACACATCGCACACGGAAGTCGACGGTGTAAAAACATGATTACAACAATCATATGATGAACACATTTAATAGGACACTGATCCAGAGGAAGTTCCGCGCACTGGTTGTTGCTTTTGATATTGTTTTTCTCCCCTGAGCACCCGGATGATATCCCAGTATTTTCAGTGGGTTCGTGACCTTTGCTGCGCCACCCGCATGCGCAATTGATCGTATAGGTATAGATTGATCAACAAAATGAAATCTTTTTTACTTGATAATATTTCCATCTTCATTTTTATTATAACAAATGAAAACAGTTTGAAGTTTAATCATCTGCCAGTGGTAAAACATCATGACTGAAAAATAAGGAAGTCAATGTATGTCTTTATATTTTGTCTTATAATCCTAATTATTTTATTGCCATATTTGTATGCATTTTGAAACTTAATAAAAAGCATACGATCTACTTTTACTTATAGCGTATTTATAACTGTAATAGCTAGACATATTATAGAATGCCAACATGAATCATATTTCCCACACGCCCTAGGTATGACCTAGTGTATGTTGTCTGTCCCATTACGCTACACGGCGAAAACTAATTATTCTGTTGAATGCTACCACAAATGAATAAAAACAAAATGCAAATATTAGAAAAAAAACAGACTAAAGTCTGCAACAATGTCAGGTTATTACCTTGTTCGAGTAATGTATCCATCAATATCCACATACGTTTAGTCCCGATTTTGACAGCCTCAAATTTGACAGTGAAATTTCTCACTTCTGTAATTTATCTAGCCAGTTATCCAAATGTTGACAATGAACTTTGGTACCCTTGTCAGCTCTTCTCGTGCCCGTTTTTTTACATTACTGGTAAGGATATAGGAGCCAATAGAGCTTTGGTCTGGATGCGTATGCTGTTTGTCCCCTCTTCTGACAACAGTCCCATCTGCTGTTGTAGTGACTGAGGCTGTTTTCAGGCACTGACATCTCCATATAATGGTACCATTCCTGTTGGCAGTTCGTCTCAGATACCTTTATCCATCCAGCAACAATTCTCCACCTGGTCTCCTACCATCTAACTTTGTACCTTTCTCAGCCATGATGAAATATGATAAGGAAATGTGATGTATATGTGGGCATATATACTTTGCAAGTAATTGGTAAAGCTACTTCTCCCATCCTGCTCATGACGTAACTTTTTTTGTAAATATTGCATTCATACATCTCAACGGATAATGCTGCTTCTCGCATCCTTTTCCCTCAGTTGATTGTGATATTAGTGTTCAAGAATGTTACTTGTTCTGTACTTCTCTCGGGTGATTGCATTTACTAGTACATAACTACCCTTAATTGGTGCAGCTAGTTATCCCAGGTTTGAGAGCGAAACTTCGCGAATCAGTGACCAAGACGCTGTCAATAATGGGACACTACCTCCACATAAAGGAACAATATCCCATTGATCTGCATCTGACAAAGAATCCTGTTCCATGTCAAGTGTCTTTTAACAGTCTAATATGCGAGAAAGGGCTACATCGAATCAGTTTTCTTGACATTGGTGTATAATCTCATTGGTCATCCAAGATCGCACACATGACAACAAATTGCATGATGTCTGCCATTCTTTAAAAAGGTAATATAATAATGAGCAATCAATCCACTCGTGTTTTTCTTGGTCATCTCCTCCCCACAATCCCCACCCACCCGTACCATTGTCTTGCTAATTAACATGGTCTGGTGATCCTTTTACGCCTTAAAGGTCACATGCAACCAAAAATCAAACATAATTAAAACACAATTATCACTTATTCATGACATATAATATACATTGCTGATTATGAAAAAAAGATATAAACAAAATTATAAGCGTACAATCGCAAATCAAAAGTGCAATATTTTGTACGAAGCAGCCGGGATACCGGACCAAGTCAGAGCGGGTGGGTGTGCACTCAAGTGTAACGGCTGGTTCATTTGCAGATGCCTCACGTCTCATTTGTGTGTATATATATAGATGTTAGGTTTTGTAAAAACATGCTCCTTTCTTGTGTATAACATTTTGCAATCAACAGACATCATAACATGTCATGTGTACAAGTATCACCTGCCTGTCTGTGTAATTACATAATGTGACAGAGACGGGGCGCGGGCCATAAATCGATGCTTTTTGCTTATGGTGTGTAGCCTGATTGGTGTTAAGTTCAATTTGCATGTGGTCAGTGATCGAAGTTGTGTATTGAACATTGTCATTAGCAGACAGGCAGGCAGACACATAGGTCTCAATAAAACAGACATTGAGTTTTGTCTGTGACAACGACATATCTATATCACAGTCAGACATTGTTGCTAAATAATCACATTGCTTTTAAGTATCAAACTGAGAAAGTGTTGAGTTGAGTTGAGTTGAGTTGGGCTTTACGTCACATCGGCATTATTCCAGCCATATAGTGACGAGAACAAGTCTGCATTAATATACATTGTAAGTACAAAATGGTTTCGTTTCAAAGACATACATTCATTACATTGTCATTTTAGAACAGAGAATGTCATAGCACTAAATTGAAAAGCAAGTAAATTCGTTAGTGACATTACATTTTATGATATAGATCAACTTCCCTCAGGTAGTTCAGTATCAGATGAGCGCTCACGCTGGAGAACAGATCTTTCAGATTGGTTGCGTGATAATGCGAGTCCCTTGCAGATGTAAAATCCACACAGTCAAGCAGAATATGCTTGACGGTGAAAGCCTCATCACAGGAGAGACATATGAGGGGTCCATCCCCATCCGTTTTTAGCAGATAG